AAGTCACTGAGTTGGCCCTGCCACCAAACCTGAAGAAAACTATGGGCATGAGAAGAAAACAGTAGGAACATAACACAATCGGGAACTGCTGTTCATTCCAAGCTACAGACACTGTACTGGCACAAAGGGGAGAAAGCTTAACCTACAGCCCAGAGCTTAGCTGTCAGACTCCAGTGCTTTTGCATAGCACTACCCTGAATCAGCTTTACCATAGCTGTTGAGCTGTGCAGATTTACAAAACATGCAAGAGGCAAGTAAAAAACACAGGTGGAAGTGAAACTGTTGAAGAACAAGAGAAAAATTTCACCATGGAAGTTAAAGCTCAAAGAAAAACAAACAGTTTGAAGACAGCACCTCCGCAAGGTCAAGACAGCCTGTTCTGAGGAGCAAGAGACCGATGGTTCCCCTTTTGACTAATCACCTCCTGACCAAAGATTCAGTTGTGTGCCATCAGTGTGATAACCGTATTAATATTTAGCCTAGCAGTAAATTTTAATTATTACTACATGTGTTAACTGCTAAGTAACCTTGGATGTTCTGTACTCATTGCTGGAGATAAATCCAGTTCTGGAGATCTCTGGCTGCACCCATTCAGCTTCCTCCTTCCATGACCTATCCAATCAGTTACTTTTTTTTTAGAACAGCAAAAGGAAAGTTAAACATAACCTCCTGGGTGAAGTACATCTTACTGCAAGTAACAGAGATGATCTTTCATTTGACTTACATCGCCCCTGCTTTCTAAAATACTTCTGCCTCAGGCTCATGCAATTCCTCCCAGATTGTTCAACTGTACCATCTCGTACAGAAAACAAAAGCAATTTCCCTTTCATGCTAAGGGAATCCGGACTACATTCGTAATCAGAAACTAAACAACCCGCATACGTAGCGCAACAAGGCACATTGCACAGCTTGTTAACAAAGGAGAAAGAACTCCTCGTTCTGAGTTTAATCACCCCCACAGATTGCACGCTCCTTGAACAAAATGCAAAACTACCCTTACTTTACCAGCTTTTACTTCTTTAATATAGACATCTGAGTCAATAGAGGTCATTACACTACACAACAGATGGACATTGCAAAAAATGGAGGGAAAAGAATCAGATACGATCACGCATCTTTCAGAAGCATGTTAAAAACTACAGGGACGAATGGTGTCGCATGGAGAGTAAGCGCAGGGTCATTTTGAGACTGAATACTACCAAGAATAACTACTACTCCTACTGGCAACTGCTTCTGGTACAAGTCAATCACAAGGCTCAAGCCCATGCTTTAATAAGTAGACTGCCCTAATTGTTCTAACATCACACCCACCCACCATGGTAAGGATGAAGTTAAAAATACCAAACGTGAAGACAACTTGGTCAGCGATTCCTTTCTATCAAAGACTTCTCATGCTGTGCTAGTCAGAGAAACTGAGTGCTAGCATTTGCAGCAATAGCTATTTAAATAGTACAGCAGGTTTTCTTCACGGAGACCAAGTTACTTGTTCCCCGGCCCTTGTTCAGTTCTATAATAGCCTGATATCCCCCCCAGCCCCCCACAACAGTCAAAGTTGCAGATCCACAGCATACACAGAAGTATACAAGCAGGTAATTTGGTCACGGAAGGGGATCAAGCTACAACAGCATATAAGGGAAAAAGTATCTACACCAAAGAACCTTTAGGCTCATACAACCAGGATGCGTTGCAGATCCACAGCATACACAGAATTATACAAGCAGGTAATTTGGTCATGGAAAGGGAACAAGCTACAACAGCATATAAGGGAGAAAGTATCTACACCAAAGAACCTCTAGGATCATACAACCATATATACAACCAGGATGGCCATACTGCTTTAATACACAGCTGAAACACAGCGCTCAGGCCTTCACAGGTTTAAGGTTACTGCAGAACAGAGAAATGAGGAAAGCACTGCTCACCAGCAGGTATCCTCGAAACTGATTGTATATTATTGCTGTAAGCAAGTTCATCAGAAACAAGTTGCCTAGTGGAGAAAGAGACAGTAAGAATTATTGAAATACACTTCTGTTTCTCAAAGAAGTTTCAGTGTATACAGTAAATCAGATTTAAATTTAAAAATAATTAGTTTCTTTGTGTTTGATTTCCAAAATGTTTTTAATGTTTGAATATACTGTAATGTATCCAGTCCCCTATCATATGTTATCAAAAAAAACCCCAAACAAACCATAAATACCTTCCAGGAAAATTATCACACAAGACAGTACACAGTAATTGGAAGGAACACAAAATGGGGGAAACTTGACAATTAAACTTTCCTGAAAAAACAAAACACACCGTAGCTGGCATGCAAAAGCATCAAAGTAAGAGTGCATTTAAGTTACTGAAGACAAGACATAGCTTACCTAATACAGTGAAGAGTATGAAGAAGACTGAATATGCTCGATTCTTAGAATATGCAGGAATCATCACTGTACCAGATTTAAAAAAGGAAATAAGAATTCAGTTCTTAAGATAAAAAAAAAAGGAGACCTCTATCAGTTTTTGGCAGTTGATAAAAGCTCTTCTACAGTTCCACTTTAGAGTTGCATGTATAATTACACCAAAGGAGAAGCAAGAATCAGATTACTGAAGGCATGAAAAAAACCTTTATGTAACCTTCCTCCGGCTGTACTAAGAACACTCAGCTTGAACAATGGTTATAGTAGTCTGAATATAATTTTACTCTATTATTCCTTGAAAAGAGAGACAAGAGTTATTTCTGAAAGATTGCTCACCATCAGGATTATTTGCAGTAGTTAGCAGGACCAGCAGAGATGTCAGCGAATCTGGCAAATTCCGGAAATACACCACCCATTCCTTATCCTGCTGGCCATCCTAGTCAGAGAGATGGTCGTTGTTAGAGAAACACTGAAAAATCACTAAGACTGTCTTTCCAAGGAAGGAGGGGGGGGAGGAGAATAAATCAGTCAATAATCCAATTCTCACACTATCAAATGAAAAAAGCACAAGGCAAGCATAGAAATTCGGACAATGTGCAAGAACACAGTGCAATCACTTCACTTATTAACAGTCATTAATAAACATAAGGAAGAACACAGGCTCAGAGTGCCATGGCAGGCTCGGTACAGAAGTTACATCTAGCTAACACCTCAGACACAGGAATAAGAACCGTGTCACAAACAGACAATACAGGAACGTGAAGCCACCCCTGATCGATATAAAAAACACTTCCTCTTCGTAATATGAGATATTAGTGCATTAGAGCTAAAAGCACTCCCTAAACACAGACTGACACTATCTTCAGTCTCAATCTGCATTATAAAAATCAGTGTAGTGGTGAAGCTGCTTTCTTTGTTATTCCAGCTACAGCTTGCAGCACCTCAGTGTCATGGAAACCTAATCACCCTGTAATACCCCAGGATTACACTCCAGGCCTTGTCCAAAGCTATAACACAATTTGAGGACAACACTAATAGATCTTGTCTATGCTGAAGAACACAAGCAAAACAGCTTCCTCATTAATTAAAAGGCATTTATTGAGGAAGCCCTTAAACACCTACAGCTCCACTAGCATACTCAAAGTGTTAAACATGTCTCTCACTTCCCCTCTGACTTCTCAACAGAAAACTTAACATCCTCTGAACTAGTTATTTGCACAAAAGTTAGCACTGCTACTCGGAACAGAGGTTTTCCCCTTTCTCCAGTTATGCCCTTACATATTCAGAGCATTCTGTTTAATTACACTAAGATTACACAGAATACAGCCACACAAGTTTTAGGTCTCTTCAATAATGCACACAAAAGTGTACTTAAAGTGGGAGTACAAGAATAGTCCTCAACTTATTTTAGAGGAAATAAATATTTACATAAATGAGAACAGACAATATAAAGCAATATAAAGCCAGCACTAGTGCACACTACAGTTGCTGGGCAGGTGGAAAACACCCAACTGCACTGTTTGGAAAACAATGAAGATCCAAACTGTCATGTACAATATCAATGAAAACATCACACAGATTAAACATCCAGAGGGGGAAGATGAATGCTTCAACACCAAAAAAAAAAAAAAAAGTTAAGTACTTGGGTGACTAAAGTCATCAAAATTATTTTGTGGCTCAATGGAAACATCAGACAACTTGCTGAAGCTCCGATGGTATCGGAACTTTCATCAAATGCTGGGATGCTGATCTTGGATCATCCACATACTTATTTTTTCCCCAAGTTCCAGTACAGATAGCTAGAAAAAGTTGCGGGATGCAAACGATACAAACATGAATCATGCAGCACAGAACAAACACCCCTTCAATCTGCTGTTAAGAGCGGAAAGACATACCTTGAGAGGATGTAACACAAGACAAGGCAGAAATCTAGAGGGGTGAATTTAATGACTAAATGTACTTTTAGAACTTGCTTTCAGTAATTTACCTTGTTAGATATAATTAGCTTGTATGGGTATTAGACTAGCAAATAAAAAAAGGAAAGATTGTCCTATAGTTTGTTATTTTTCACCTAAATGTATACAAATTTGACAGGCTCAGGTATACAAATTTCATTCCCATCTGTTGGGAAAGCTCATGACTGAAATGAGATGTGACATACAGAGATAATACGAAGATCCAGCACACAACTAAACAAAGATGAGAAATCGAGGTCTGCTTTTATCACATGTGACTTCAAGGAACCTGCCAATCATAAGGAAGATTAGAGGCTGGCTCAAGTGCAAATTGCAGTTGGAATGAAAGTGCAAATCTGAGATTAAGAAGAACTGAAATTACTGGGAGAAATACACAACAAATCTTTGTTCTCACAGGAACACATTTATGGAAGACCTCAAAAAGTAGCGGGGGTGGGGTGTGGGAGTACACAACTGAGTAACATACATTACGACACGAAGTTTAGGAGACAGGAAACATACCAAGAGCACTGGAACACAAGTGATTTTAACCACAAATTTCAAATTGTTTATTTGGAAGCAGGAAGGGAAAAAAACCAAAGCAATCAAAAACCAAAACACTGGAGGAAAGCAGGCAAAAACCTACCAAGGCATGGCCAGGGATACCAGTATTGGAAGATAAGAAAACACAGAACAAACAAAACTTAGCAAAAAGCTAGATAAGGAAAAGAGAAAAAAAAATTAGTAATAACTAAAAAGAGACAAGATTAAGAACTTTGGACACAGAACAGCATAGAAGGTTTCAACAAAAGCAGAGAAAGTAATTCAAAGGATCAAATTGGAGAATTGTATACAGGAATCCTGTTGCGTAACCAGACTTTCAGTTTCTCCCCTGTGATAATGGCACCAATACCAGCAATACACAGGGCCATAAACAAATAACGATATCAATCACTATGAAACCACCTAACTTTGCTCTGAGCAGCGGAGCTAGACTAATAAAATAACATGCCACAGCCTACAGCAAGAGTGGCAGATTTCAGCTGTGGAGAAGGAAGGCGCATTACCACTTAAGCAGCAAAGCACTTCAAATTCATCCCAGCAAGTCTGACAAGGTAATGTGACCTCTTCAGGGGAAACGAGTTTCACCAGTTTGATTATAAAACTGGACCTACAGCAGCTATGTGAGTAAAGGAAAAGAAAAAAACAAAACCGATGAGATCTACCAAAGCACGAATGTAATTGGTTACCTTTGTTCGAGCAAACAGCAGCATGGCAAACATAGTAAAGAGAGACAGATGAACAGCTAGTAGTAGAACAACACTGTTGGAATAAAACAGATCACGTGCATTAATATCAACTTTGTCTTATGTTCAGTAACCTTTGCTGAGGTTACAAAAAGAAAGCAAGCATAGACCTTTGCTCAAATGATGCCTAGGTTCTTTCCTTACAAAATGGTTGTGTGTAACACACAACAAAAAACCCACACTCAACAAGCATCAACCGCCTTATCTGTCACGCAGAGTCACATCACATGCATTCTAGGGAAATTCTACAGACCAAAGGAACCAAAACGTTAACACAACCCTTCACCCATTACTACCCAACCTCACCAACCACTCCTAGCTAGGCCATCCAGAAGGAAGCACCTCTGGTGCTAACAACGTGCTTGCTGTGAAAGGAAGCTTTCCAGGCTACTACCGACCTCGCCATTTCAGGCAACGTGCTGTTGATACTTTTTAATGTTTTCTTCATCATAGAAGAATTCTGAAGGAGAAAAAAAGGACGAAGTATTCTTCTTATTCTCAAGTCCTGCAAAAACAAAGCAATTGATCAGATAACGACTAAAGCCACGCGTATTTTCAATAGAAGTTTGTCAAAACCCACCGATACACATACCGACAAAGGCAACGGCGTAACGTAGAAATGCAGTCCTCAGAAGCTAGATCTGCCCCACTGAAGTCACAAAGCACCCAAAAGAGCTTGTATATGTTTGGGTGCCTCGTTGACAGGGAGCGCTTTCAAAATGCACACTGACATTTCAATAGACTCATCAGGTCACTGATTATAAACAATCTAACTTTACTGCTGGGTAGACATAACAAGCAGGTCAAGAGATGGCATTTTCATATTTTCTGCCAAGGTCCATTTCAAGAAGAGAACTAACAGTGAGCTACTTCCAGCAAAATCAGATCACATGTTGAAAGTCTCCTCCCTGAATTCTCCTATATACCACATATGCCCTGCTGACTATCCCTTTGCAGATTCTTCTCCTCTACCACTCTCCACAACAAAGTTGTTGATTGTTTCTGCAGAAAGCAATTCTTACCTCTGCGCAGAAAAAACTCAGCGATACAATCCAATCCGTAAGGGAAACAACTAATGTCAGTATATAAGCCATTAGCCATTTATTTTTCCAAAATTCTTCCCATCCAATTAAGTAACTCTGGGGAGAGGGGAAAAAAAAAAAAAAACAACCAAAAACAGCAAGCAAAAAACTTATTAAATAAGAAATTCCAATACTCTAATAAGACAGCACCAAGTTTTACCGAATTTTCGTAATTTGACATCAGTGCTCATGAAGAGCTTTCTGAAATCCAAAGAAAAATAAACTGATCAAAGATTTTTTTTCCAAGAGAACTAAATAAAGGCCAGTAAAAGTGAGAGGTGCACACAGGCCATGCGAGAAGAACCCTCTGAATGCAAGAAGATGACCATTTAATAAAAATAAAAAGAGATTTTCCAGAAACAAGTATCCAAAGAAAAGTTCAATTTCTCACCATTTTTATCATGTTATAAGACCTGGCATATGTTTGGTTATTATATACCCCAATTTTTATGGCCTAATACAAGCAGCCAAGCCAAAACCACTGTATTCTTATCAAAACCTATTTCACTTACTCCACGCAAACAGGAACTTATACTTCTTAAGTAAAAATTAAAAATATAATTCGGAAAATACGCGCTTTCTAATTTCTCAGAGCCACACTGACTATACCTACTGAGCTGCCCAACACACCTAGAATTTCATTCAATACCAGATAAACGTGATGCTCACCTTCACGGATACATCAACCATGAACACAAGAAAGCAAAGCAGCTCAATGCTTTCTGTTAGGCCACATGGAGGATTCCATGCTGGAAGGCGGTATCGTACATCTGAGGTGATAGTGAGCGAAGAAGGCTTTTCAATGAAAGCCAAAGCCAGGATTATAGTAATGGTTAAACTCAAAATCCTGTTTGGATAGACATAAATTTAAGAAAACACCACGCACATACAACCACCACTACCACCCCCCCACCCCCAAAAAAATACCCACCAAACAAGTCAAAAGAATAACAACATACTTACAGTAAAGCAATTTTCTTAGAAATAAATCAAGCACTACAGTATCATATTTAACATAAATGGGTTAGATCACACTGCAACAGTTGACTAATGCACTGTTGCCTGCATCAGAATAATGAAACAGCTGACCATCAAATGTTGGTTTGATGAGGTTCAGAAGAACCTCACATGGGGTTCTTCTGAACAGCAAACAATGTTGCTGCTATTTAACGTGTTTAGAAACAGACACTTTGAAAACTCACTAACACACAGCACTGTAAATCATGCTGACAGTCCATTCAACATCAGTCCTATGGCTGCTCCAAAGAGCCACCTACACCACCATATTTTCATATATTCAT